CCCCAAAACCCCAAAACCCCAAAACCCCAAAACCCCATTTTCTTGGATTTATTTTGAAAATAAGATTTAATATGGCTTCTTTCCTCATGACAGTACTATTCTGTCTAGTCATAATCGCAATATTCTGTATGATTTTAGCAATGGTTCGGTACTTTGGAGACAGCAAGGAATCACATTGGCTGACAAGCAGTATATCAACACTGGGAATCTCCCTCTCTTTGGTGTATATAGCGTTCATTCCATTCGATATCTATCTGACAAGTATGGGGCATGATAGCTTCCAGATCCCTTTCTTGTTCATCAGCATGAACATCAAGACTGTTTATAGCATTCTGTGCTTAACAATTGTGATGTTCTGAATTGTCATACTCCCATTTGGATATTTTTACATTGAGGAAGGAGTCGATGAAGATTATGCAAGCTCAGATTTCTCTGCTTCATATCACAGAGATTATATCGATGACCTCGATTATAGCGAAGATCTTTCTTATTGGCAGAAGGTTGTCAGAACCATTCAGCACACAGCCCTATTTGTAGTCTGATGAATGGTAATAGTCATCGGCTGCTATTTCCTATTCAGCTATAATGCCAAGGTTGATATTGAGAGATCGAAATGGACAATTTTTGAGAATGTTGAGTTAGATACTTTCGTCAGACTTGCTTTGTCAATCTTCCTGATTATCGGAAGCAACATAAAGACACTATACTCAGCTTATGGACTCTCTGCTTTCACTTTCTTCTTAATCAAAGGCAAGAAGACCCCTTCTCAAGAGAAGAAAGAGATCAAGAGATCTATTGCTCAGGTGAGGGAACAGTATAGGAAATTGCAGGAAAAATATTCTTCAGGCAAAAAGAAGAGGAAGACTCGGAGCGACATTCGTTTGATGAAGCAACTTAAGACTGAGGAAAGAAAATTGAGGCTAGAATCTACTCAGATAGAGTACCAGCTACAAAAATCAGAGCATAAGGATATTTGCTCCAGAATTTTATCAATGATTTTTGCATTCTTTAAGCCTTTCAGGATCACTCTAGGATTTGTCACATTAGGAATGAGCCTGGCTTTGGTAGTCTCACTTGCTTGTGGAAATTTAAACAGAATTTTATACTCAAAATGTGGATTTAGCTGTGGTTTTCAAGTTGTCAGTGGAAGTCATGACGATACCCACCAAATTTTAGATCAAATGATCAATCTATATGATAGCATATTTGTCCAATTATCAAGAGTATTCCCTTTGGATTTGGTAATATTCCTCACAGTATGAACCCACTTCTTCGTTTCAACATTATATGCCATCTCAAAGATAGGAATAAGGTTCCTATTTATCAGCATTTACAGAATAAAAAGAGATAGGAGCTACCCACAAGCAATTTGATTCATGTCTCTCTACATGATTTTAATAATGTTCAGCTTCACTTTTGATCTATCAAGCCTCATGCCTCGGTACCTAAGCTACGCTGCTCAGAGTGGATCAGTGAAACACATGAGCAAGATATTCCAGTTTAATACGACAATATTGATTAAAAACTCGATATTCTCAAATATCACATTCATCATGAGTAACATGTTCATTCTGTTCTACAGTGTATTCTTCTTCTACCATATGCTGCACAATAAGGACTCTCAGTTCATCATCAACTGCTGTTGATGCGCTGAAGAAGAAGAGTACTCTGACGACGACCAGAACGAGACCACAAGTGATGAAGAACGCAATGCCAAGGGTAAAGAAATGGACGAAATCAGGAAAGCAAACAAGCTTGATTATGCTGTACTTTTCGAACAAGAAGCAATGAGTATTAATTAATTTGGAAAATCAATTATTGGGTGATTTAATGGGGTTTTGGGGTTTTGGGGTTTTGGGGTTTTGGGG